TCCCTTTCTTATAAAATTCCTCAAAAGATCTGTTTATATATGTTGTTTCACTTCCTTTCTTCCTGTCTTTTGAGCTCACTCCAAACAGACTTTTTCATCTGCCACTCACTGGAACTGCTCTTACCGATTGTCATCGAAAACCTGCATATTTTCATCGTCTTTTTTGCCATCGGCCATGGTGCCGCTCACACAGGTAGGCAGCTCACTGCAGCTCTCGCTGCAGGCCACTCACAGCAGCCCAGCTCCAGGTCGAGCCATTGTTCACAATCTTAGCTATAGAGGGTGCAGCTTACTGGCCCATGTGGGAATTGAACCAGCAGCCCTGTTGTTCAGAACGCACGCTGTTACCAATTGAGCTATCTGGCTGCCCATCAGTCGTCATCTTGAACTAACAGCATCATTTGATATAGTCCATTGCTCCGTGCTGCTTAGACCACTTTCCTCCTTTGGTGCCTGAAACACCACTTTCTCTTGCTCCCCCTCTTCTCTCCCCAACCTCCTGGCCAGTCCTCCTGCTTCCTTACTTGATCTGAGCTGTCCTAACCTCTACAAGTTGAAGTGCCTAAGATTTAGCCCTGCTCATCTTTTCCCAACACACTTACCCTCTGATCTCATTTAGTCCCATGGGTCTAAATTTCTTCAACATAGTGACAAGATCTATTGGGTTGTCTGAAAAGTCATGACGCATTTTTACAACGAAAAACATAGAAAAAATACATTATGACTTTTCCGACAACCCAATAATTTCTGTCCTCAACCCTTACTTTTCAATTCAAGACTCATATGCACCACTCTCTAATCAATATCTCCACTTAGATGTCTAACAGGCATCCCAAATATAATGTGTCCAAAACTAAACTCTTGGTTTCTTGTCTCTCTAAAACATACATCTATCACACCCTGCCTCATCTTAGCAAATCGTCTCTCAGTTCTTCTAGACCTTGGTGTCGTCTTTGACCCATCTCTTTCTCATCTAATCCATTAGCAAGTTTTGCTAGCTCTGCATTCAAAGGACATTTAGAATTTCACTACTGTTCACAACTCTTTCACTGCTACTGCTCTGTTCTAAGCCACCATCATCTCTTGCTTGAATTATTTCAATAGTCTATTCTATTAACTAGTCTCTTTGTTAATGCTTGCCCCCCTTCCCCCAACCCTCAAAGTGGTCTTTTTAAAGCATAACTCTGATTATGTGACTTCTCTGCTCAAAACCTTCCAATAGTTTCCCACCTCATTTGGAATACAACCCGAAGTCCTTACCACGGCCTACAAAGCATTACATCATCTGGCCTGCCATTCCCTCTGAGCTCATCTTCTAGACCACACTTCCTCTTGTTTAAATAGCTCTTGAATTTCTAGATTCCTTGCTTTTCCTTGAGGATACCAAGTACATTTTTGCTTCAGCACCTTTATATATAATGTTCCTTCACCTGCAATTTTCCTCCTCTAGCCATAGGCTCTTTTCTGCAGGTTTCTTTTCAAATTCTACCTTATCAGGTAGGTCTTCTGTGACAACTTTATATAAATTAACAGCTTTTCCTCACCATTCTCTTTTCCCTTGCATATTGTCCTTCATAGCACTTATTACCAACTAAAAAAGTATATATTTTTATGTTTTTATTTGTCTCCTTCCACCTGAATATAAGCTTCTTTAGAGAAGGTGGTTTGTTTTCTTTACCACTGAATTCCCAGGACCTAGAACAGTGACTAGCACATGGTCAGTATTCAATTTATATTGATTGAATGAATGAATGAATGAATAATTGTCACCTATTAGACAGAATGCTCCTGTGGCCAGTGACTAGTTCTGATTATATATTCCCATTAACACCTAGCATAGTACTTTTCATATGATAAAAGTTTAAAATGTTTGCCAAATTAAATTGCATCTTATTTCTCTCTGCTTCTTAAAGATGCTCTCTGTTCCTTTTTGGCAAGTTTCCATACTGCTACCTGCTTCTTCCTTCCTCTGTCGAAGCTCACATTTGCTGGAAGCCTCAGTTCTTGCTATTTCTCTAACTTCCTCTTTTCCTGTCTATATTCTATTACAACTTTAGCGTCTGGGCTTCCAGGAAACTTCAGATGACAACTATCATCTCTCAGCTCTTAGAGGTTACAAAGACTATTCCCCACAATTTAGCAGCCTATACTATCATGTATTCTCTGCTTCGTGGGAATTCTGCCTTGCCTTCCCAACAATAAATGGCACAATGGATGAGATCATATCATACTCCCAAATCTTTTAAAACAACTAGTACAAGTTGCATGCATGGTAAGTGATTAACACCTATATCAACTGATCCAGAATAGTATCTCCACTTGCATACTAGATACCACCTCTTAGATATCTAACAGGGATCTTATTCTATCTCAAATAGAATTCCTGATTTTAGCACCCATACATATTCCTTTGCCATTCTCCCCCCCCTCTCCAACCCTCATATACTAGTCATCAGTAGGTATCCAATTTCATTAGTCCAAAGTCTAGGAATCATTTTTTAAAATTAAACTTTTATTCTGAGATAATGGATTCACATGCAGGTGTAAGAAGATCATGTGTACCCTTTGCCTAATTTCCCCCAGTGGTAATATCTTGCAAAATCTGAGTACTGTCTGGCAGTTTCTTGAGCAATTAAACATAGAGTTACTCTATAATCCAGCCATTCCACCTCTAGGTATACACCCAAGATAGTGGAAAACATATGTCCACAAAAAACGTGTACGTGAATGTTTATAGCAGCATTATTCATAGCAGCCAAAACATAGAAACAACTCAAATCCTCATCAACAGATGAATGGGTAAACAATATGTGGTATATTCACAAAATGGAATACTATTTGGTCATAAAAAGGAGTTAAGTACTGATTCATACTACAACTTGGATGAACCTTGAAAACGTTATGCTAAGTGAAAAAGTCAGACAAAAGGGCATGTATTATATAATCCCACTCACATGAAAGTTCTGAATAGGGAAATCTACGAGGCAGAAAGGCTAGTGGTTACTTAGGGCTGGGGGAGAGTAAGCAAGAGGACGAGATGGAAAAGATGAAGTCAGAGAGGTCACGGGTCCGGATGACCTAGGGCTTTTTATGCCATTATATGACATATCTTTTACGCTGAGTGAGATAACAAAGCTTGGAGGGTTCTGAGCATAATTTGACTTTTAAAAGTCACTCTGGCTGCTGTATGGAGAGTAAATTATGGGAAGGAAAGAGGGGGAGCAAGGCGATCAGTAAAGAGGCTATTCCAAAAATCAAATCAAGAGATGAAAATGGTTGGGCTAGGGATTAACTTTGAGGTGGTCTGAATTGACTGGATATGAATATGCTTCAAAGGTTAGAACTAAAGCATTTGTTGGTGGATTCAATACTGTATAGAGTGTAGAAAACAGTCAAGGATGACTCCCAGGTTTTGGGTCTGAGGAACTGCACAGATGGAGTTAGCATTCACTGAGCTAGAAAAGAGTGTCAAAGTTGCAGGTTTTCACGAACTACATGGGTGAGTCTGGTTTTGGACGTGATAATGTTGCGATGTTAGGTAGGCAGTTGAATACATGTGAGTCTGTGGTTAACGAATAGTCTGGTTAGGGCTACAATTTGGGAGTTGTCAATGTGTAGATTTCATTTAAAGCCCTTACATTGAACAATATCACTTAGGGCAGCGGTTCTCAACCTGTGGGTTGCGACCCCTTTGGGGGTCGAACTACCCTTTCACAGGGATCGCCTAAGACCATCGGAAAAAAAAAAGATAATTACATTACGATTCATAACAGTAGCAAAATTACAGTTATAGAGTAGCAACGAAAATAATTTTATGGTTGGGAGTCACCACAACATGAGGAACTGTATTAAGGGGTCACGGCATTAGGAAGGTTGAGAACCGCTGACTTAGGGCAATGGCCTAGACAGAGAAGAGGTAAAAGACTCCAAGGCACTACAAAATGAAGAAGGCTGAAAGATTAGAAGTAATTTGCAAAGGGGTCTTCAGAGCGCTTAAGATAAAATCCACATTCCTTATCTTCATCATGACCTGGCCCTTCTAAATGTCTTCAGCTTCATTTTTCAGTAACACAGGATATTCACGGGGATTCAGTTTTTGAAATACACCAAGTCCTATCCTGTCTCATGGCCTTGATTTTTGCTGTGGGTACCACCAGGTATGTTTTCACTCAGGCTCTAATTTTGGTCACCTTCTTTTCTTATTACAGCTCTCAGCTAAATAGTTACCTGAGTTCTCTCTAGCCACCCTAATTCCCATGAGTTTTCTCTAGCTACCCTAATTTAAAAGGCTCAACCCAACCACCCCCCACTGAGTTAGGGTTCTTACTGTAATCCGAAATTATTGAGGCCACCTGCATGATTGCCAATCCTCCCTCTCTTTCCTCCCTCCTCCCCCCACCAAGATGTCCTGGCCCAAAAATGATCCTTTCTTTTCTTTTGTTAATACCTCCCTTGCTCCCAAGTTATTCGTATAAAAACCTTCTATTTTGTACAGACCCTGGAAGCACCCTTCTAGTGAGTAGATGGGATGTTGCCCAATCCCTGAATCACTTAATAAAGCCAATTAGATCTTCAAAAAAAAAGAGGCCCAACCTGACCACTCCCACTGAATCACTACGTTATGGCTCTTTAATCTGAAATTATTTTATTTGTGTTCTGTCTGAAACAATTTAACCAACGCTTACAAAATGATTACTACGCCAAATAAAAGCTCATATCCCTCCTGGCATGTAACTTCCTGGAGAGCAGGGGCCTCATTATCTTGTCCTCTGCCGCATCCCGATGCACTCGACATTGCCTCAGCAATCAATTCTGAGTTTTCAATATTTATTAACGGAACGGATCGCAGCACACTGACAAACGTGCAAGCAAAAGCAATATACCCACCGCTCCGCCCGGTCCCAGAATAGCCCGAAGCATGGGAGGGCCCGCGCATGCGACTTTGTTCTCCAAGCGCTACGGCCTGAACCCCGCCCCTTTTCCCGGGCGAGTGAAACCACTGCGCATGCGCGCTGCGAAGCCTGCCTGTTCCTTTGTCGGCGCTATCAATAAAGTTTTAGTGAGCAAAGACTCCCTTTTTCCTTGACAAGATGGCGGAGTACGATTTGACTACTCGCATCGCGCACTTTTTGGATCGGCATCTGGTCTTTCCGTTGCTTGAGTTTCTGTCCGTGAAGGAGGTGAGCGGGGTTCTGAGGGCGAGGAAGTAGTGGGAGCGCGTGAGAGGCGCAGCAAGGCCGAAAGGCGGTGGCGGGAGCCCTGGGCCTGACACACGTGTGAGGCGGCCGCGAGTTTGCTCCCTTGTCGGACAGTAAGGATCTACTGTTAGGTTTGCATCGTAGGAGTTGATTCGTACCGCGGGATACGGCCGTGCGGACGAGCGAGGTGACACTGAAACCCAGGGAAGGACGCGGTCTTACCCTCACTTCTGGAGGCGCCGGGGCCCCAGGGACTTCCGCGTCAGCTCCTTTCGGAAGTTGACGACTCGCTGCTGACTTCGCTGTGATAATAACGCCGAGTATTACTTCAGGCCGACTTCTAAAAACAAATGGGAGGGTTAGAGATTTTGACTTTTCTTTCAGGAACTGTGGCAAGGGTGTGCTGGGCTTGCCTTGTCGTATGGAACGATGATCTTACACTTAACCGAAATACCCAGCACTTTTGATTTCCAGAAAGTTGTGAGCTCTTTGCATTGAGTTTTCCTGGTCTTTCAATAAGTAGCCACTTCCTACAAGCGTAGCATATTTTGTCGGATGAGGAAGGGGACACCCCCCCACACATACTCTCGAAAAAAAAGCAAAACAACCCGACAGAATTTTAACCTACAAATTGTTTTCCAGTTATAGATATGTAGATTTCATGTGATTTGAATTGGTCTTTATCGTTCATTTAGCTATTCAAAATAATCTTAAATAACCACTATGTGGTTCTGGTATCTCGTTTTAAAAAATGTATGAGCCCTAAAACTTTTGAAATACTGAGCTTAGTTATACTTTGAGTTTATTGGGAAATTGATGCATTTTGATAATTATAATAAAGTAGTATTACTGTGATGAAGGGATTAGAATACTGGCCAGAAAAATAAATGAATTCTATTTCTGGAAGCAGATTATAACATAGTTCTACTTAAGGAACTCTAGATTTGGGGAATAGGTTTTATGTATCCCAACGGCAATAGAACAAAAAAGCCCCACAAATGAACATTAAATTGTTCTGATAAATTTTCAAGTCTTGCTGGTTTTTATGGTTTATTAGATAAATTCGTATATCTTTTTCTAAACATATAGATAACTTTAAAATTGTTGATGTTGGGGAACAACCAAGTTCATTTTCAAAAAATGTTCAAGAATGTCTTTCTTACCATGTGAAGGCGTATCTTAAAAGGATATGTTTTTGCCTTGGTTTTTCTTCACATGGGCTGTATTAACACCTATAATTTAGAGCTTGAATATACTAGTCTAGTCTGCCTTCTGTTGGTTTTTTTTTCCTGGATAAATAAGGATAATTCACCACAAATCAAGGAATAGACAAATACCACATTTTGAAATCCTTTACCAGCTACTTGTAGAAATGCTTCTAAACTAGCCAGACTTCATATTTTTGTAATGTGTTTATTATACTTTCATTTTTCAAGACCAACAAATAAAAGGAATATGTAAGTGTAAATTAGTGTTTCGTAGGGCAAGACCAAAACTATGAATGGCAGCTGAGAATCAGTGGAAAATAACTGCCCAGTACCTCCTTCCTTGAAGAGAGGTTGGTAAGGTGACCATAAAACACCAAGAGGAAGGCAGACAGATACTGGAGTATTTATTTAGTGATTAGTAAGTATAGGGTTACCATGGAAGCATGATAAATCCAACATACAACCCAGACATCTCACCGCTAAAAATTCACCTATACTGTAGAGGAAATACAGGTCTATAATTACAAGGCAAAAATTAGGAAATGTCAGAGAAGTACTGGAAGAGTGCTATCAAAACTGAGATTTTATTCAGTGGGCAAAAGGACTTTGAGGAAGAGAGGCTTTGAGCTTCGAAGGCTAGATGGTTAGGAGAGTCAGTGATCATGATGCACGAGGACAACAATTTGGCGTATTTGTGGTATGTTGGAGACTAGAAGCTCCGTGAGAGCAGGAACTTTGTTTTATACCTTGCTGTGTTCTCAGCACAGGAAGTAGAGTCTGGCATAAAGGCTTTTAGTGGTGGTTTAATAAATGAGTAAATTAATACATATTTGTGTCTGCTTTTCTTTATTCTCAGGTGAAGTGGAAGGCCAGGTATAGTTTAGGAGCCTTGGTGCTGGATTTTTGCTTGGATTAGGATCCTGGCTCTGTCATTTAACACCTCTGTGCACCTAACAGCAGTTTCTCATCTTAACTAAGCCTTTTCTCGTGGATAAAATGTTGGTACTACCACAAACCTCATGGAGTTAGAAAAATTACATGAGAGAAAGCATATAAAGCACTTAGCCTACTGGGAAAGAGTATTACACTCCTAAATGTTTTCTATCAGGAGGCTAGGGCATTCTGTATGAGAGGGGAGTGAGATAACCAATGGGGATTTAAGGAGTGACTGAGGAAATCAACCCAGAGATAAGTACAAGGACTGGTAAGTTTGGAGGGCCCAGCTGAGACTGGAAATTATACATTTATAGAGACTGATGATCATTCTCAGAGTGAGAGCAGTGGAAGGTTATTGAAGTAGCGTAGACATGTTTGGAGGTAGATTGTAGGTATATCATTTAGAAATGAAAATCATTGCTGATCAGCAGAGAAAAGCACAAATGTGATTGAATATATATTGCCTAGTTTTGCAACATTGTATAGTCATCCTTGGCCAAAACAAATAGATGACTTTTTTCCCCAAAGCTAGAGATTGACATTGAATTGTGTTTGGTTGGAGAAAATGGATGGAATCCATGATACTGCTAAAGAGAAAATATTTGAAATGACTAAACTTATATAGAAAGTTACAGCCAAAAAAAGTAATATAAAAATTAGAAAGCAGACAGCATGATGAGATGGTGAAGCATTTTAATGGTAATGGTGGAAGAGGTGATGAATTCAAGTTGGAAGTCTTAGAGATGAGGTACTGGATGAAAGTTATAATTGGCGGGATAAAGGAATTTTATGGCTTGAGCTTTTTAGAGAATCTCAGTATGGATGTAGGATTTGTGGAAGATGACAGCAGGAAAAGATGTCAGAATATTTTTAATGTGTTAAAAAAGTCGGCAGTTGTTTTCAAGGGGATAATAGACCAGGCATTGGGAAACTATAGCCTGTGAACTGAATGCAGCCTTCTCTACCTGTTTTGTATGATCTATAAACTAAAAGGAATTTTTTTTTTTTTAAGACTTTATTGGGGAATTGGGGAAGGGAAACAGACAAGTTGCTGTCCTTTTGTTCTTCAGACTAGTTGTGGAGGACATCGCTTCACTGGCCCATGTTGGTATTATCATTGCGTTCTTCCCCGGGTGAGGCAATCGGTTGCTGGCCATTGGATGGCTGCTCATGGCAGCTCATGCCAACTGCCTACCACTCACAGCAGCTCACTGCAGCAGGGGCTGCAGCCTACATCGTCTTTCACGGTGACTCAAGGCAGCCCAGCTCAAGGTCAAGCCACTGTCCGCCATGCCAGCTGTAGAGGGCGCAGTGTCACTGGCCCTCATGTGGGATCCAGAATGGGGCTCTGCTGCTCAGAGCTGGCGTCCCAAGCCAACTCTTAACCAATGGGCCATTCGGCCCGCCCTAAAAGTAATTTTTTAACAAATGAACGTTCACAAACATTTTCAATTACGGAACACTAATGTTGTATCCCAATTAAGTGAAATAGTTTCTGCCCAAAAAAGAATTCCATTCTTGTTAATAGACCTATGTTATAAAAAAATTTACTCCATTTTAATTATATATTTATTTCAAATAGCAAAAGAAATTGTGGAAATTTTTTTCTTATAGTACTTATGAATAGTATTCTTGATTTTTTTTTTCATGGCTCACAAACTCTAAAATATTCACTATCTGCTCTTTACAGAACAAGTGTGCCTATGAGGCAAATTTTAGAGAGGGTGATGTAAGTAGATGTAGATTTATGAAGAGGCCATTGAGGTCTGATGGCAGAGGAGCAGTGCTTTGAACTTACATTTGGAGAGACAATACAAATTAAAAGCTATTAATGGGGTGTCAAGGAGAGGTGGCATACGAGAAAAAGGGTGTTTTCACCTAAGACTAGGGTTTCTGTTGGGCAGACTGAAAGGAAGCTTCAATTTTTGTAAGTAAACTTTTTTTTTTAAAGATTTTATTGGGGATTTGGGGAGGGGAACAGTTTTGGAGAATTGGGGAAAGGGAACAGACAAGTTGTTCTTCAGTCTTCGTTGCGCAGGGTGCCACTTGCCATCTGGCTTCCCGTCGGCAGCTCGTGGCCTCTATGCTCAAGGTGCTGTGTTACAGTCTTAGTTGCGGGTGGATGTAGCCACCATCCCATGTGGGAGTCAAACCAGCAGCCTTGTTAAGAACCCATTCTCTGGGCTGGCCGAGTGGCGCGATGGTTAAGAACTGGCCTGGGATGCCAGAGGGCCCCAGTTCGGATCCCACATATGAGGGCCAGTGACACTGCCCTCCACAGCTAAGATGCTGAACAACAGCTCAACCTGGAGCTGGGCTGCGAAGAGTTGCCTGCGACGGCGTAGGCTGCAGCCCCTGTGGCAGTGGGTTGCCATGGGCTACCGTGTGTGGCCAGCAGCCAGCGTGAGCGGCCAGCAGCCGCAGTGAGCGGCTGTCCAGAAGCCGGCGACTGATCTGCCTCTCCTAGGAAGAGCGCAATGATGGTGCCAACTTGGGCCAGTGAAGCAACGTCCTCCACAACTAGACTGAAGAACAAAATGACAGCAACTTGTCTGTTCCCCTTCCCCCAATTCCCCAATAAAAATCTTAAAAAAAAAAAAAGAACCCATGCTCTATCCACTGAGCCATCTGGGCAGCAGCTCAGCTCAAGGTGCCGAGTTCAATCTTAGTTGCAGGTGGGCGTAGCCACCATCCCATGCAGGAGTTGAACCCAGCAGCCTTGTTAAGAGTGCACACCCTATCCACTGAGCCATCCAGGCGGCAGCTCAGTTCAAGGTGCTGAGTTCAGTCTTAGTTGTGGGTGGGCATAGCCCACCATCGAATAGGCAATCTTGTTGTTACACCAGCTGAGCCATCCTGCCACCTGTTGGCAGCTCAGCTCGGGCACAGCATCACTGGCCCATGTGGGAATCAAACTGGCGGCCCTGTTGCTCAGAGCTCGCGTTCTTAATCCAACTCTTAACCAACTGAGCCACTCGGCCGGCCCGCCTTTTCCCTATAAGTAAACTTTTTTATCATGTGTAACATTCATACTACAAAAAAACCCCACAAATATAAGTGCTTTTTTCCCAAAGTGAACACACTCATGTGACCACCATCCAGATGAATAAGTAAAACATTACAAACATCCCAAAAACCTTCCTTCTGACCCTTCTTAATCATTACTCACACCTCCCAAAGGTAAGCACTCATCTGATGCTAGAATAGTTTTGTCTGTGTTTGATTTTATATAAATAGAATTAAGCATTCACCACCATGGACTTGCTTTGTATGACTTCTTTTATTCAGCATTGTTTGTGCAGGTCATCCAAGTTGTTAGGATGGCAATAGTTTGTTGATTTTCAATGCTGAATATTAATCCATATTGTGAGAATATTACGGTTTATCCATTCTAACATTGATAGACTTGGCTATTACAAATAGTGCTGCTATGAACATCATTGGAGATGTCCTTTGAATATATGCACCCATTTCTAATGGGTACCTAGGAGCAGAATTGCCTGGTCAAAATGTATGTTTAACTTTAGGATATAAAGTTACTCTACATCTACACCAATGCTGGTATTGTCAGTTTTTTTTAGTGCTTAGTGTGGTTTTAGTTTGCATTTCCTTTATGATTAATAAAGTTGAGAACCTTTTCGGGTCTTGGTTATTTGGTTAAACTCTTGTGAAGTGTCTGTTAAAGTTTCGCCATTTTCAGTTGGATTGTCTTACTTTTGTGTTTGCTGTTTATGTAGTTTGGAAAATTCAGTTTTGAGCTCGTGGTTATACCATTTGACCACCTTCATGTTTTCTTTCATGGACAATGAAATGTTGTGGAATCTTCGTACATTTTTTTCCCCTTAGCAAAATTAAATTTAGTACAAAAACCTTTTCTTTTGCTGAAGCCTTACGTAGATGACCATTTGATTAATTTTTTTTATTTCGATTATTATCTCTCCCCCTGAATACTATTGTGTAGAATCCCTCAATATTGCTCAGTACACTTAACTTCATGTTTATGTAAGTTTTCTTATTTGGTCCCTGTACTGTGGGTTAAATTATATTTCTCGAACTCCTTGCAAAGCAAAAACCTGATATGACATGGTTCACATAGAGAATGGGTGCTAGTTATGTTTCATTGGTGTGGATGAGGAAGGATTATAAAGGACTGTAACTGTTTAGTGAAGAAATATATGGGGGTAAAGAAAAGGCTACCTCAGAGAGATGTGGATGTAGAGATACTAAAAGAGTAAAAAAAAAAATTGAGTTGATTTCTAATTACCTGGATGTGGAGAGGGGACAATTATATGTGTTTACCAGTGGAGTTGGTGTGGTTATTTATGCACAGTCTTGTTCTAGAAAGAGGGTAAAAGATGGCTTGTATGGACACGTAAATAAGATAATAAATCAGAAGTAGGTGAGAAGGGCTTTGCATTGTGTAATTGCCTTCATTTTTAAATTATTAGATAAACAAAATATTCTTAAGTCTCTGTAGATTGATTGATTGCCTTCTTACAAGAGGGTGAATTAATAGTATGTAGTATTTCAGGAAGTATATTTCTGAGTAAACTAATCTTAGTATTAATCAGTTTATTTGGGGGAACTTCAATATATTTCAGAAAGTAATTTTTTTCTTGCAGATATATAATGAAAAAGAATTATTACAAGGGAAATTGGACCTTCTTAGTGATACCAACATGGTAGACTTTGCAATGGATGTATACAAAAACCTTTATTCTGATGATATCCCTCATGGTAAGTTTTGTCATTAGAACTGAAGCTTGTTTTGTGAAATGAGCATGTGTTTATTAAAGTTGGGTGATTTATAGAAGAGCTTTAGCCAAAAGTCTTAAGTATTTGAATGATTTAGAAGTTCTTTGGATGAAAGGTAATATTAAGGTTATAGGTTTTCTAAAGCATATTATTTTCTCACCATAAAAGATGCGAAACTACTTTAAAACATGTCATCAAATGCTTTCAGTTCATAGTATAGATCAGTGGTTCTCAACCTTCCTAATGCTGTGACCCCTTAATACAGTTCCTCATGTTGTGGTGACCCCCAACCATAAAATTATTTTCATTGCTACTCTATAAATGTAATTTTGCTACTTTTGTGATTTGTAATGTAAATACCTTTTTGTTTTCCGATGGTCTTAGGCGACCCCTGTGAAAGGGTCGTTTGACCCCCAAAGGGGTCGCGACCCATAGGTTGAGAACCACTGGAATAGATCATCAAAGTTATACTTACGGATTAGATTGTTACCTTAGAATTAACTGAGACTATTGCAGTTTTTGTTTTTCTTTTTGTTTGCTTTTGGTTTGCAAACTTTTTCAGTTAGTCTCATGTGCCTTAGAGATTTATTTTTCATCTTGAAATATCTGGGTATATAGCCATAGTCTTCAAAAGTATGGTCCCCAGGACCAGCATCATCAGTTCACTTGGGAGAGCTTATTAGAAATGCAAATTCTCAGGCCATACCCCAGATCCATGTAATCAGAAACCTTTGGCTGAGGCCAGCACTCAAATTGGAGAATGACTGATAATGGTATAGTGTTTTACAAATCCTTGTTTCCTGTGGTAATAGATGTTCCTTTAAAAAAAAAAAAAAGGTCCTATAAGTTTGCAAAATTTGAAAATACTGTATCATTTCTTCTATGCACATAGCATTTTAAAGATTCTAAGAACTCTTTCAGTAGAGAAGTATAATTTACTTTGTTTAAATAGACATTTCTCAAAATTTGATCACATCCCCTTCTATGTTTGAGAAACGCTGTTCTAGTGTATATTTTGTGATATATAATGCAGAATTATTCCATTAAACCTAATCACCTTTGACTTATATTACAGTTCCCTGCTTAACATTAGCTCTTTAAATTTTAGTTTGTGATTAAAAAAAAAAACTTTCTTATTGAAATTTCAAAACATGCTATCAGGGTAAGTTATGTGTGAATTTTCTCTCTTTATGATGCAATAAAAAGAAACTATAGAATTGGATTTGAGAGATTATAGAACTACCTTTATAGTGAAAAGAGAAATTATTGCTTGGATTTAACTTCCATTCAACCTAGTTGAAAACCTGTAGTAATGATATTTAAACTCCTCTGAACCTTTAGAAACTCTGGGGCAATATTCACCTGAGAGAATTCAGTGAAAAGAAATATAAAAACACTGGGAATGAATTCTCTCTGATGTAGAATTAGATGATAATTGTTTCCTTGACAGGCCTGCCTCCCTTCCCCCAGACTGTATCTGTCTATTCCCTAGTTTCTCTGAAGACTAAGGAAGAAGATTCCCACTTCCTTTGTGTGCCTTTTCAGTGCTAGAAAGAAGAAATTTGACCTGCGGGCGTTTCTGAGTTGGTGGTTGCTGGGATATGAATGTATAAGGGGTAAATGCATATGTGCACAATTTAAATAAAATGGAAATTTTCCAGGGACATCCTCATGGGGAGCAGTATAGTTTAATGTTATAGCACTCCTTTGCATTTTTAATTAGCTTTGAGAGAAAAACGAACCTCAGTTGTTGCACAACTGAAACAGCTTCAGGCAGAAACAGAACCAATTGTGAAGATGTTTGAAGATCCAGAAACTACAAGGCAAATGCAGTCAACCAGGTAACATCTTAATTTGAATTCTAAAAATTCTCTTTTCTGGATTAATACAAATGTTAATTCAAACTTTAAAGGATCCCTTTATCTGTTTCTTTTCATTTATTCTTAGTGTGTAGTAGGGGCCAGGAAGTCCTTAATAATAAACATTAATACTGAATTCTTTTTGGAATTTATTTACCATTTACTCCAATCTGATTCTACTACATCAGTTCTGCCTCTTTCCCGCCTTCCCAGTGGACATTTGGCAATGTATGCAGATATTTTTGGTTTTCATGACTGGAGGAGTGATACTGGCACCTACCAAGGAGATGCAAGGAATGCTGCTAAACATCCTACATACAACACATTGGATGGGACCCTACCCCCCAAAAAGAATGATCCAGCCCAAAATGTTAGTGGTATTGAGGTTGAGAAACACTGTGCCTGGCAGTACCTAGAGCCCATGGGTTCTGGCTCTAAGGAAAACCTGAGCTCACTTTATCAGTTTGCTACATTCTCTCATATCCTTCCAACCTTGATGCCCAGCCCAAGGAGGGTAGTGTGGAGCTGATAAGGTTATTTTATTCCTAACTTCCCCTTAGCTAGAAATAGACTTATTGTTTGGTTTCCAAAGAAACTATGTTGTCTTACTCTGACTTACTAATTGAAGCCCTTTAGGTTATTAAAAATGTTTAAAAATAAAAATCTACTAAAATCGAATATTGCCATTGTGGTAAATCCTAGCTACCAATGTATTCACTTGAGGAATTGCTGAAGATTTTGCCACGTTGTACCTTTAGTTCCTATGATATATAATCAAGACAAATTTTTGGAGCGGTTGGCTCTGAATTTTCATTTGTGATTTGGGATAGTGTTACCAGATATTTTTTAGAAAAGCAGCAAATACTACACTATTATTCATACCATATTATAATATATCATGCTGTAGTATACCATATTATTCTATATATACTGACAGTATATACACATACACAGAAATAGCTATATCTAAAACTGTCATATATATTTTTATATAGCTATCTGTGTGTGTGTATGTATATATACATATATACAATACTCAACTGCCTCCATATACTTATAATAAGTAATTATAGAACTTCAAGTCATATGTTAGTGCCCACAGAGGAACAGCTGAAATAATCCAGAAGTTAGGGTACAACAGAAGATTTAGGATTTAAATACTAAATGTAGTCACTTAAACACTGGGAGGTAATGGGATTAGGATATGAATAAGGTAAATATGAAAATTGTTCACCAAATATTAGAAAGAGAGGATTCCTTGTAGCTTAATAGGCACTAAATTGGCGAAAAATGATAGAATTGTGTGTCAAAAACCTGTAGTTTAATTAAGCTTATAAACTACTTATTTCCCAAGTAATAACCTCTTCCTGCCAATTTTCTGTTTTTAAATTTTATTGAACATATACCGTATTTGCCAGCGTATAAGACGATTTTTTGGCCCTGAAAAATATGCCTCCAAGTGGGGGGTCGTCTTATACGCCAGGTACACTTCAGATAGACTGCCCATAGTGCTTGCCCCGTGCCATAGTGGCCTCCCGATGCCCGCCCACTTCATTCCACATACCGTTCAGGCATCAGCAGCGCTGCTGGGTGTATGCTCGGCTGTGTGCGATTTTGCGAGTGGTAAATTCGGGTTACCGTATATTTCTTTACATATGCATTGAAGATTCGCGATTTTGCGCTATCATGGTGCCTGTTAGAATGTTGAAGAGCTCGCACTTGCGCACTAGTGAGGTCCCAGGGAGATGCTGATGCAAGGGTGGACCAGACTGCTATAGTGACAGGGCGGGCAAACAGGGAGCAGGGACCAATCAAATCAGGCTTTGTATACAGCCAACAGCCAACCACAATACTGCACCATTGTACAGTACAGCATAGAAAATGTCGACCAGTCAAACCCCTATCATCCCTATCATGGCACCAGCCAAAAGAAAGAAGTATGATGCAAATTTTAAACTGAAAGTTATAAACTTTGCTAAGGAAAATATTAATTGTGCTGCTGCAAGACAATATGGAGTAACAGAAAAGATGGTTCGGGACTGGAAATCAAATGAGAAAGCATTAAAGAGTATGCCAAGGGGTAAGTGTGCATTAAGAAGAGGCACCCCACACTGGCCAGAACTCGAAAAACATGTAGCAGACATGGTGGCTCAACATCGCCAAAACGGTTATGTGGTGACACGAAATACAATACGCTTGTTTGCACTTCAGTGGGCCAAATCAAATCTGATATTGTTTTACCTTTTATTTGGTGTGTGGAAGGTGTGCGGAAGAGGGGGTAGTCTTATACGGCAAGTATATAACAAACTCTGTATTTTGAGTGGAAATGTTAGGGGGTCGTCTTATACGCCCAGTCGTCTTATACGCCAGCAAATACGGTAGTGTTGTGCTTCTCACATTTCCCAGAAATACCCCATCAGCCAGAGGACACTGATTACATACCTGAGGGGGTGTGAGGAATGTAAAACAAAGCTACTCATTATGATCCACAGAAAGTGTTAAGTTTTTAAAAAAACCTTTTTATGTTAGAATTTCATGCACGTTTCATATTCAGCATTTGAATATGCCCATGTTAATTTTAGTGATAACATATCCAGTCCTCATTAAATCTTCAATAAAATTATGCTCCTGCAAGGCATGCCACAGCATTCCTTCTGGTAAGAAGCATAAGAAAATGTTTTCATTTTTGAAAATGCCCACGGCAGTTGTGCCTATATATCGCTTGTTCTTTGGTGTCTTTGTCATAAAATTGTCTTTTGCCACCCTGCCAACATCTCAAGTTATGCAAAGCTAAAAGAAAGTTAAATTGAGTTATTTGACACTTTGATATTGATAATTATATAGGGCATGTAGCATAGATATCCTGTAAGTTAGGCATGATTTATTAATCTTATAAATTGGCCAAACCACCATCCTTGTGAAAAGTATTAATGAATTTGGGAAGGAGACAAAATTTATATATAGGACTGATTCCTGGTAGTTCGTATAATACATTCATTCCAATCTCTATTCCATAATAAGAATATATTATCTATTGGAGATGTAGCCTCAAGAGAGCAAATACAAATACTCCTCAACTTGCGAGGGGTTGTGTCCTGATAAACCTGTCGTTAAGTTGAAAATATACTAAGTTGAAATGCATTTAATACACCTAACATACCAAACGTCATAGCTTAGCTTAGCCTACCTTAATTGTGCTCAGACACTTGTGTTACCCTACAGTTGGAGCAAATCATCTAACACAACGAATACACTGTGGAGTGTCAGTAGTTTAACCCTTGTGATCACATGGCTGACTGGGAGCTGTGGCTCTCTGCTGCTCCCCAGCATCATGAGAGAGTATCACATCATATAACGCTAGCCCAGGAAAAGATCAAAATTCAAAATTTGGAGTGCGTATCATTTTTACACCATCGCCAAAGTAAAAAATTCATAAGGCCATTTTAAGTCTGGGACCACCTGTACCGTTCTCAGTAGGTTACTAATAGATTGCTGACCTCACTATAAAACAGTCAGAATGTTCAGGTTTTATTATCTAAAAAACTTCTAAAGACCTTACGTTAGATGATTTGGTGAAACAACACATAATTTTCAGTTAGGACCAAAGAAGTTTGAAAGTGAATTTTAAAGTTTGGAATTCTTGAGTTCCAATTTCTTGTTTAAAACATGTAATGTTCTGTTTTATTGTGGAAATCTCATTTTTACTTCTAGTGTTTAGGTATTAAGATATTTAATGTGGCTTTATGTGGGTAACAAGTTAGAAGTTGGATAAGCTTATTTTGTTTTCTGTGGGCTGTAAAATACAGTAACTTCTGTATTATTGTCATTAAGGGATGGCCGGATGCTGTTTGACTACCTGGCGGACAAACATGGTGTAAGTGGTATTTAAAAAATTTTTTTAGTTGTCATGTTATAAGAGTAATTAAAGAATAGTGCAGTATAGATAGGTTCCTGGCTTGACAATATAATTTCCAGATTAATTTATTAAGTATAGTGCCTGGTATGTTTTTGAAACTTTAGTTTTTAAAAATTGGTGCTGATAGGAAAATAATATGCTTATACTTATATTTAGATAGAAGAAAGTCTTAAAACTTTTATTTTTTCCAGAATAAGCAGTCACATTATAGCATTTTATATGTCTGATGGATTAACAAGTAAGTAAAGGCAGAACTAAATTTGAATGAGAAATGCCTTGAGCAATAGAATTAATACTTCGGCTGCCTTGCAGAATACAGTATCCTTGACGTTATTAAGGCCTTCATAAATCCCCAAATTCATAAAGGAATGTTACAGGCTTTTCTAGCCATCTCCCAAACTCCTCCCTTTGTGTTAATTCAAATTGTGAAGCTTTATATACAATTACCTCTTTTAACTTGCATTCAAGTTTTATCTCTCATTTAACAATTACTGTAACAAGTGGTTTGCTGACCACTGTAAATTATTTTTTCTGGTTCCATGTAGAATGTGTGGTGAATTTGTTAATGACCTAGTTCGGAGCCCTTCTCTTAGGTTTCTTCACTTTGACTTTGCTTGCATCAGCTCTAAGAGTTGGCATGCTTTTGGGGCCAGTTTTCAGAGAGAACAGTTTACTGTACATATTATTTGTACAGAATCACCAAACATACAGGGATGCATATGTTTGGTAGCTGTCTAAGCTCAGTCACCAGTAAGGGACTCACACATCAAACCTTCAGTAGCTATTCAAGTTTGTATCGTAACAAAGGAGGTATCATGACAATTCATAATTATTTGAGCCCAGAACTGTGAATGTTAAATCCACCAATTCCTAATGTATGTTTTAAGGGTTATGTGGTTCTCTGATCCATGGTCTTTATTTTTGGTGGCAACTTTTGGGATACTTTGAAAGTTCTGAATTCTGAAAGCATTTAAAGGAGTAAATGGGTTGAATTTTAAAAATTAAAATTAAAAAGTAGCACTTTAGCCTTCTTTTTTATTTATTTTTAGTTTAGGCAAGAATATTTAGATACACTCTACAGGTATGCAAAATTCCAGTATGAATGTGGGAATTACTCTGGAGCAGCGGAGTATCTTTACTTCTTTAGAGTGTTGGTAAGTAATTTTTTTCGTTGTCATCTCTTTTGTAGGATTCCCTTGAATCCTCAAAACATGTCTATAGATTTGGGTCTATTGTTTTCACCAGTCATTGGTAAAAGTAGAGGAAAAAAAAACTTTCCCCAACAAAAAACAAATAGGTACAGGAAACTTTATATCAGATCCTCAAAATATGAAGTGAAATTAAACTTCATCTTGAAATCCTCAAAAGTGGGAACCACTGATTTGTTGTATTATGTATAATTATATGATTTTAGCATTGGCAGAATTTATCATGCAATGACTTTGTTACAATATTACCGTACATCACAGTGAGTGGCACATTGTGAGTGCTCAATATTTATTGAACAAATTCATTATTCCTGGATAATACCATCCATTATTCTAGCTAATGAATGCAAAATTCAATTTTTAATGCTTTATGTATTTTTTTAACTTGTACTAATCAACTGTGGAAATATTTGAAAAGATTTTATGTCTCTATAGTAACTTTTTTCCATTCTGCCTTCAGCTATTATAATATTAAAGCTCAATGGCTTTTCATTATGTAGGGGGTAGATGGGTTTAAATGGTATTATTAGAGTAAATTCCTAATCATAATGTGCCCTGTTTGTTATCGTCATATGTCTGTTTGACAAGGTTCTAGATTCAGTGCTTTTGTTAAGAAAGAAGGAGAGTTTGTGTGAAGCTAAAGAAAAAATCAGGCCTTCAAATTGACAGATTTCTTTCTTGCTCTGCCTTCTGTTTAGGTAATTGTATTAATAAATGCCTTGTAGAGTTAACAAAATGCTCTGGTTTTAAATTGTAATTATAATTTGTTATTCACTTTGAGTTAGTAAGCAGCTACCTAAGTCCCTCATTTCTCTAGTTAATCCTATAAGTTGGGAAATGACCTCTTGGGACAGGGACTTGGTGTCTTCCAACCTTGGAAGAGTTGTTTCTTTTGTCTAATTTCTGGTGCCTTTTTTCTTTTAGCCCACATGCCACAAAGAAAAGGCTTACGGCCGCTATTTTGATTGTTTTGTTGGAAAGTAAATTATTATTATTATTATTATTATTATTATTATTATTATTATTATTTTGTGTGTGTGTGGTGCAGGGATTGGTGTTATTAATTCAGGTAATTCCTGCACTTCAAAAAAAGTACTTAGACAACTTTACTTTTTAAAACTACCATCCTTCAAAGAAATAAAGATTTTTCAGTTTATTTCCAAGATTAATTTGGAAAAAAACCATTTTTCTGTTACTCCCATTTGTAAGCAAATTCTTAATTTACAGATTAACTGTGGTTACCTTGCAAGTGCATTGAAGGTAATCAGTGATGCTAAACTTGTAGTGACTTATCAGAAAATTCCATCAGTTTTACTTTGAATATTATGAAGGATTTAGGAGAGCAAAAGTTGATTACTTTGGAAATGTAAACAGCTTAAACCAGGATTGTAAAATCAGAAGCCTGATATGATTACAGGTACATGAAAAGAGCTGGTTATTCATATCATTTGTTAATGCTGGGAGTGAATTTTGAGAATGAAGATTTAGTGTCATGTTAGAGTTCTAGCACAGTAAATTTATTGTTGCTGGTCAGTGAGTGAATGTGCCATTTTGCTAAGACATGGAAACTTAAGGTAACTGCTGGAAATCCAGATATTGAAACTCTTCTAGCATATCCACCCTTGAAAGCAGGTTAGTATGAAGAGCCAACTGTAATGACATGGACTTGAGCCAGAGTAGTACGCATGAACCTTTTGGGGATTAAAAAGCCTGCTGTGCTGCTACAAAAAGCTTTTATCCTTACACATATAACGTATTCTGGCTTTAATAGTATCATTATGTTTATGTAGTGTGGTTTTATAATTAAGTCTGAAAATTTCTACAAGTGATAGATACATACTTAAAACTATGGGGAGTTTTTATGTTTACATTTTAGGATACGAAGATCCAAGTCAGTTCCCAATCTTAAAAAATACTGGGTTAGTTTTAAGCTTTTACATTGCCTAAAAAATCTTGTGCTAGAACTCAGATGATATTTGGTAAAGGGATTCAATACCAATAAATGATCAGAACACAAAATTAATTATTTTGCACTCAAGAGCAGTCTTTTGATAATGCTTAGAAATTATGTGCAATTTATTTTTAAATGTTTGCCCTATCTTGTGCCACAAAACATTTGAGGTAGGTAGGAGTTGGTTATTTCCTGTTGGCATATTGATAGAGGCTAACAAAGCTAAATTTTAAGAAAAAATACATTATTTTACTTTTTTTTTCTGATTGAGGTAGGCAGTACTATGAAATCTATGTGTTTCAGATTTTGTTATTAGCAAAGATAAAAATCGTGTTTTGGATTTAGGATGAATGCTGTCAAAGTTTTACTTATTACTTAATTTTATTTTTTGCAATAGCCGTTTTTCATTTCTAAATTCTTTTCTGGTGATTGGTTATTCTTTTAAATCTATGGTTAGGGAAACATAAGCTATGAAAGAACCATTGTAACTGTGATCTGAGATTAGAACTTGACTCTCCAAGTGACCTATTGTAGGTCAGTGTTGTATAAATTAAAGCTGTGTGACCCTAGAGTCTACCTTTATTTTAAAAAAAGACTTGGTGGCTTTTAGAATACATCAGGGAGTGTTTAGATGCACCCTGTTTGGATGTGAAACTTCTTTGATTTATGCTGTAAGAAATGCATTAATTTGAAATGACATTGATGAAACATTTGTAGAAATTTTTAAACATTTTTGTTTTAAAGTTTTTAACACAGCATTTTAATTAGTTTGTTAAAATCTACCCTCACTGTAGCCTTTGGCCTGGCTCCAAAATATAACCCCTCCCCTCGCCCAGCAGCTATTTGAAATAAAAGTGATTTTAAGATACTAGGACTGTTGGTGATCATCTTTTTGTAGGTTTTTTTCCCCACTCAGAATTTAAAATTTATCTACTGTTAAGTACCTGCCATTTGATTTAAAGGTGCTTTTCCTTGAGTCAAGAAAGTTTGAGTAATGATGAATTTTGGAACCTTAGGATAGTGACCAAAATTTTGGATCTGATTTATCCAGTTTGATAATGTCAGTATAAAAGATACCTATTTCTTTTTTTTTTTTTTTTTTTTTA